GATCAAAATCTATCAATCAATTATTAAAATCTGGAGAGGAAAAACAATGAACGAGTGGGCTAATTTTGATTGTTGAGTTCAAGTTTTTTGCAAATATTTAGAGGTAAAAGTATATGATATTTTTTGAATTCAATGTTTATCAGTAATTTTTTAGCGGTTTCAAGTTATTTATCATGAGCAGAGATGCACATTCAAGACTAGGTACAAGATCACTTGTAAAAAATATTGGTCTCTCGGCAGTTAAATTATTTGTTACCAGTTACACATTTGAAACAATGACCGAATAATGGATTAATTTTAAACAAGAATTGTAGAAGGTTAAATTAATGTCTAATTATCGTACAATTTAAAATGTATTGAATTAGTATTATATATTCAACAATATCAAATTGGTCCCAAGCAAAACCGATGGGTTTGCAAAACTCAAATAAAACCTTATTTTCAATTAAAAAAAAAGATTAGTGACATGCGTTCAAAAATTCGTCCATAGAACCAGACCTCAAAAAACCATAATAGAGGCTGAAATCTCTAGTAATGGGTTTGGGTCATAACAGTGACCCAAATTTTATTTATTTGGACACGCTACTCTTTGTATGCTACATTGAGACGAGACCTAATTTAACTGAAGTTGAAATTGTGAACGTGTAATTAGGTTAATTGACGTATATTATGCCTATAAGTAGTTTTTTTTTGGTTAACCGTGGGTGTTTAAGGCAGCTTGCACACACCTCTACTAGTCTCAGGTGTTTTAGAGAACAGTTAGGACTTAGGAAAATCGCAATTGTCTTGCAGGATTCGGAGTGGTGATCTTTGAGAAAAATTTCTAAAGATCTAAATCTTATTGCAACTAGAGTTAACCCATGAAACTACTAATAAGTAGTTTGAAGTAACTATAAAGGAATCACCAAATTGGCATAAAAATGTGCAAATTTGACCTTATATACAGATGGTCAATGGTGTACCCTTCTCGCCGAAACCTGGATATGAATGCTCTTTTTGGAGTGAACCAAATCCTCGAACATGGGCTCTAGCAACTTAGGCAACAACTGTTATTGTGGGCCAAGTTTGGGCTATGTCCGATTGCATCTTTTTTTTACCTGTTAGGTCGTGAGATTTGTTTTAAGTAAATTTCAAAAATCATCTTCCGGATTTGGTAAGAAATCAAGTACTGTAAACGATCATTCGTCGAGGCCGATACTCAAAATCCTGCCAAATTTCAAGGAGGATTTTTTTTTTAATTTACACATTATTTTTTATGATACAATCATTTCATTTTATGAAAAATGTGAATTTATTCATGTTTTAAGGAATTAATAAACTTAAATTTTGAGTAGACATTACAAATAATAAAGGGATTTAATGACCTCTTCAATACATAATCGATTAATTTTATTGACATGGATATTTTCATCTTTACAAAATAAATGGAAGTGGAAAGAGACATACCTCTCGCATACAATTTTATGAGAAAGTATGAGTTTCAATCATTTTCACCTTTCTTCGGATTTTTCAAACATTCATAAGCAATAAAACAATAAATCCTTTACCTTATCATCGTTATATCATTATACTTAACCGGTTATATTATAAGGGTTGAGTTCTTGTGATAAGGTAAGTTAAAGTGAGAAGAGTAGAAAATGATCACCATCCTTAGATGCACACTATGATAAGTGTACCGGAACAATCCCCGTATCAAGCGTGATTCATGGGTGAGTTTGAGATTAAAGGTGATCAAAGGCTTAGTCTATACAAAAGAGATGGCCAAAAACCGGTCCTGGGCCGGTCCCAATCGGTCCTCACCTTTCTCATAACCGGCTATAACCGATCCCAGTCCCGGTCGAAAATGATAGGACCGGTCAAGGTAATTCATAACCGGTTATGGCCTTATGGGCCGCCGGTCCCGGTCCCGGTCCCAACCGGTCATTGCATTAAAAAATAAGATTTTTTTTGATTTTTTTAATGATATATATTTTTAATACATTATAAAATTTACAATTGGATCACTCAAATACACTTTAAAAATGCGTTTTAATATAATTTTCTTATAAAAATACATTATAAAATTATTTAAAAGTACATTTATTTATAAAATTATTTGAAATTTTGGGCCGGCCCATAGTCGGTCCCATAACCGGTCCCGGTAGGTCCGGGTCCCACGAAACTACCAAAAACCTCAACCGGTCCCGGTTTTCGGTCCCATAACGGGTCCTTACCGGTCCCGGGCTGGTTCTTTGTCGGTCCCGGTCCCGGTCCTCCGGCGGTCCTGGGCCGGGCCGATTTGGCCATCTCTAGTCTATAGATTTTTTTTTACGCTTTTTATCTCAACTCTGATTCCCACACGATATTTCGCTTATATTCTAAAATGCCATTCACCCCATAAATTAGTTATTTGTAAAGCTACTTCTAGACCCCTAAACTCGAAAACTTTAAAATTTAGTTCACCAGGTTGGAATAAACCGTAAAATGGGTTAAATGCAATTTACCATTTTATTTATTATTATTGTACTATTTACCATTTGTTTTAAATTAAAAATGAGGAGTAAACTACAAATTTAGTCCTTGTGGTTTGATGGTTATAATATTTTTTAGTCCCTACAGTTTTGAAATTACAAATTAAACATTGTGGTATACAAAGACAATCGAATTTGGTCTCTGCCTTTAACGACAGTTAAAAAATCCATTAAGTCAAGAATATTTTAGTCTTTTTCAGTTTTATCTCAATTTTCTTTAAAAAAATAAATAAATATGTAAATTACAAAACCAAGAACTTACCCCCCCCCCAATATATTGAACCTCACCGACCCCATAAAACAGGTCTTCGCAGGCATACTTCTGGTTGCCAATAGCTCTCTGTTGGCCGACCCCGCCCCCACCTCTGGCACCTCCAACGACCTGGGTTTCAATTGCACCCCCAATTTATTGGCCATCACTTCTTCATCGAACCCATTGAAGGACCATTGAAGCAAACCCATCGATGAAACCAAAATACAAACACCATCGAAAGTACCATCATCCACAAGAACCAAATCCATCTTGTTACATACCCCTTTGCCGACGTTCCTCTCCCTCGATCTCACCTGTTAATTTAGATTTTGATTTGATTTTTTGTAGTGTGTGTGTGTGTGTGTGTGTATATATATATATATATATTAGTTAGGGTTCTTTTCCATTATTCTTTTACTTGGATTTGGGTTTTGAAATTGATTTTGAGATTTTAATTTGGATTTGATTTTAATGTGTTTTGGCCGGAGAGAAGGCGATGTTGGTCTGAGAAGTAGAAGACGATTTGGACTACAATTTTGGTTCCTCTGGTTTTGATTGGTAAAAAACTAGAAAATTAGTAAAAGTACAAAAACGCCCCTGAACTAATGGATTCTTTTAAGGGCAGTTAAAGGCATGGATCAGATCCGGTCATTTCTTACATACCACAATGGCCAATTTGTAATTTTGGAATTGTAAGAACCAAAAGTGTTATATTAACAAACCACAGGGACCAAATTTGTAGTTTACTCTAAAACAGATCAGGAATGTTAGAATTAGGCCCCTAGAGTTTTGAAAATACGAATTTATGGGCTGTTTGGCGGTTGCTGAATGGTTTGATGCAGAATGGTTAAGTGGTCAGAATGGTTAAGAGGGCCAGAATGGTTAAGTGCTGAATGAAATAATGTTGTTTGGTAATTGTTCTCTGAATGATAGTAAATTACCATTTTAACCCTCATTCACATTAGGGATGCCACTTCAATAAGATGATCTGAGTGCATTATTTGGGACAAAGGAAGTACCATATAGAGGAATTCCATACTTCTTACAGTTCTCCTCCATCACCTGACCAGACTTCAACCTTAAAAATAACAACTGTATGAATAAGATTAATATAAAAATAACATTTCATTTTCTTTGAATTTGAAGTTGGATAATGTGTTAGGGCCGATTGCCAATCTGCTTCCTCGTGGCGGTTTCCGGCGCTTCGTTTTCTGTTTTCATCTCTCCATCGATCGCTCTTTCATTCAAGAACCCTAACCCTACTTCTATCGAACAATCTATTGCACGTACGAAAAGGATAATATCAACCAGGCATGGCTCCTAAGAGGATGTCGGCCAGGCGCAAGAAATCGTCATCATCATCAGCAACCACAGTGACCCTTGTTGATCAGGAATTACCGACATCAGAAGTTGAAACAGGAGCTGGATTGAAACTCGAGGAGACAGAAACTGAGTTATTAGGTCAGGTACAAGTGTACAAGTTGCATCTATGGTTCACAGTTGGAGACGGGGACGGAGATGGTGGAGGCTACCGGAGACGGAGACGATGGAGGCGGAGGCTACCGGAGACGGGGACGGAGATGGTGGAGGCTACCGGAGACCGGGACATGCATGAAGAGAGGGGTTGGGAAGAAGGGGTGGGAAGGGTAAACTTGGAAAAATAGAAGTCTGAATGGTTTAGTGAACAATTGGATGCAAAATGGTTAAGAGGGTTATGTAACCATTAAGAGGCTTGATTTTTTTTGCCAAACACTCCTTACCTCTTAGCGATTAAGAGGTTAGCTCTTAATGTCACCATTAAGAGCCAAACAAACAGCCCCTTAGCCGCTATCTGTAAGTTATTTAAATTTCTGAGAAATACTAATTGGTCCTTGAACTTCTAAAAATACAATTTCTTTTTTCATTTTAAGTCATCCATGCTGTTAAACATTTCAATAAACCCCCTCAACTTCCCGATATTATATTTTAGATATGTTGTTGATTTATTTAACTTTTTATAAATTTTTAGTAGCCCTTTAGTATAAACAATAGCATTTTGATATAAACAATCGAACATTGTTCCAAAATCTTGAATTCATTACATTTTTGGTTGGGTTATTTTATACTATTAAAACATTTTGGTCCGCTTGTGCAAATAAGTCATTTTATAGGGGGTTAAAATGTCAAAACCACAAAAATACAAGTCCTTTTTGTGTGTTCTTTCATATTTAAAGCATCGTTTCATTGAACACCTAGTTAACGACGGAGTCCTTTTTTCATCGACGATCGATTTTGGCATCCAAAATAATCACCAGAAAAAAAATTGTAAATTGATATGTGAGTTGACTCAATTCCCTTGAATTGTTCGCCCGTTCATAGAGTTCTTGAGGTATTTGAATCTACTTGTGTTGATCTCTAATTTTGTTTATCAATTTCAATGACTTGATTACAGTCTGTGTATGTACAAGGGTTTACTAAAACCTAGGATCATTCTGTGATCCAGCTGATTTTGTTTTTATAATGGATCGTCATTGAGTCGATTCTTTGTTCTTAATACTTGTCTTTTAGGGTTTACTGAAATCTAGGATCCTTGCGAGAAATTGAGCTGTGTGTAGCTGATTGTGGGAGTTGGAAAGATGGTGTTGGTATTGGCGATAGGGGATTTACATGTCCCACATAGGGCGCCTGATCTACCTGCCAAGTTCAAATCTATGCTTGTTCCTGGCAAGATTCAACACATCATTTGCACTGGTAATCTATGTATCAAAGTAAGTAATGTCTCACTTGTACACTACTTTGTAAGGATTAAGGGATCATCCAAATGTGATCGGTTCTTTGAGTGTATTGCGTCTGTTTACCTTTATTAGGACTCTTAGTTTGGAACCAGAGTGATTAGCATTTTAACATTTCAAACCATTTGTTTCAAACTTCGCTTCTAATTAATCAATGTACATTTGAAAATGGTAAATGAAAAAGGAAAATTTGAATTGCGAGAGAGAGAGAGAGACCACAAGGTTTCAGTTGCCAACAAAGTGCCAAGTACAATTATTTGGAATACCAATCACTCCTTGGTGTTGCAAGTTTCTTGACTCTGATTGTGTGGTGCTTTTTTCTTCTATACACCTTGTTCTCCAAATGATTGTTAGCCTATTAACACTGAATTACTTGTTGCTTATACACTGGTAATGTGAATATATGATTTTCTTTATCTGTTTTTGTGTCTGAATTTGGCAGTTCAGTTATCATGTTCACCTGCTCTTTTATGTGTGATTGTCACTGAGCCACTCCTGTACCATTAGTTCGATTATAATTGCTCAGACTACTTTATAAGCTTCCTTTACTTTGATTACATTCTGTATGGCTTGTGACAATCCAATTGCCCTCCGCACATTTATATACTCATATTTGACTTCAATCGAGACATGCATACAAATTTCTCACCAATTCTTTCTGTATATCATATCATATCGTAAGCCGCCTCCTAGATATTCTTAGCACTTCAGGTATCAGCTTGTGCTTACACTGCAAGTATGCAAGTTTATATATGATTGTCGGATTTATAGTAAAACCACAGGAGTGAAGGTCATCTTTCTTACTAGCCTGATGTCTGGTGGGATCAAAATTGTTCTTATGAACTGTGGAAAGTATTAGGTCTCACATCACTGCTGTTATGTGATTGTTAGACAAGTTTACCCCAATGTCATGGTTCACTTCATTTACGAATTTAAATTAATATGTTGAGAAACTCTGAAAATGTTTTCTGCACAACTTTTCACTTGATGTGCATGAGCTTCTTTCTAATATAGAAGGCATAAGGTTATAGCATTCCCAAGGCATAACATTACCCCTGAGTTGAAAAAGGCATAGTCATCATTTGGTTATTCCTTAAGGGTTACTCTCTATGATTAGTTATTTAGGGTAATATATTTTTCCATAGACAATTTCATCACCAGTCGCATATGACATGACCTAACAGTGAGAGGGGGGGTGGGTTTAGAGTCCATGCATAATGTTATGCTGCTGTAATGCCATATCCTTGTGAAAGATCATCAAAACAAAGTTGTTTTGTGCATTGTGCATTTTCACCAGTCACTAATATGTTCTGGATATTGTTATGGCTTCTCACCTTATCCTTCTCTTTGGTTAATGTGTCTCCATGAGCAGGAAGTTCATGACTATTTGAAGAGCCTGTGCCCAAGTTTGCATATTACACGCGGTGAATATGATGAAGATTCTCGTTATCCAGAGACCAAAACACTTACCATTGGCCAGTTCAAGCTTGGACTGTGTCATGGTCATCAGGTTAGTCATGTCGTCTTGAGCTTCGCCGTTAGCAGTTAATGATATTATGACATCAAACAATATCTTGCAAGTTCATCTGCCCTTATGGCATCATACTAGTTCTGCAAGCATGTGAAACTCTTCCTCTTCAGTCAATAATCTTAAGGAAATGTCAGAAAATTTGCTGTTCATAAAACAATTTAGGATGGTGGAGGATCATTAACCATATAGGGCATGTTTGTTAGCTAGCTTAATGAGCTTAATAGGACTCACAACTTATTCGGTCAACTATACATGACCGTTTGGTAATGACTTAATGATATAGAAAGTGGCTTATTCAGTAAGCTTCTAGGGGGAGCTTTATGCAGAAAGCCAAGTTTTTTCCAAACCCGCCCCTCCCAATTAAAAAACACGCTTCTTTCATCTATGAAAAAACTCTCCAAAAAAACCTTTTCAATACAAACAGAGTAACCCACACAACCAATTTTATCTATAGGACCTAATAGAAAACCAACCAAACATCCCCTAACCCTTCTTATGTGGCTTTTCTCGTTTAAACGAGGTTGTTAACTTTTCTAACTTTGAACATGATTTTTATTGCAAGTCAAAAATCATTTTATGAAAATGACAAAAGATACCATGTAAGAATGCAATTTTTGGTAATTCATATTCACGAAAAATGTCCAAAATCTATCATTTTTTTGTAAAATGCTGTTTTCTTCTTTAACGTTCACAACAAGTATGTCTTGTTTGTTGATGAAACTTTGAATATATTGATGATTGGAAAAGTTAATCACTCTATATGAATTATCACCTTTTTTATTCAAGATATAAAGCGGATATGATGAAGGACCACTCTCATTATAGTTAATTTGGCATACTACACAAATTAAGGTCCATGTTCAACTAGATTGCCAACATTCTTTTGATTCCAAGTCTTTTTGGCATAAAAAAATTGTAGACTAAAACACCCAGACATGTAGGGATGAGGTCATTCTGTTTTCATCTTATATAGGTTGTTCCATGGGGGGATTTGGATTCTTTAGCCATGCTCCAGAGACAGTTGGATGTTGACATCCTGGTTAGCGGTCATACTCATCAGTTCAAGGCTTACAAACATGAAGCTGGTGTTGTCATAAATCCTGGTTCAGCCACCGGTGCGTACAGCAGCATCACGTACGATGTGAACCCAAGTTTTGTTCTGATGGATATTGACGGGTTGCGAGTTGTAGTCTATGTTTATGAACTCATTGATGGAGAGGTAAAGGTTGACAAGATTGATTTCAAGAAAACATCCACAGCCACCATCTGAACCAGTTGCTAATTTTATTAGGCTCTTGTTTGGCTTTATTTGTGTCTGAACCCCATTTTCATTTGGTGTATGTGATCTATGCCCATCTGTAAGGAAGTTAAAAGTTTAGAATTTGGAGTTTCTTTGGTGGTTTTTATTTGCATGTAATAAGATTTGGATATTTGGCTTGTAGTTGTAGGCTTCAAAAAGGATCTGGAATGCCATATCATAAACACTTCACCAATAGGAGAAGATAAAGTTTGGTTTGCAGTATCAAACGAAATAAGCGTTCTTTTTTACCTGTGTTAATTCACAGGTTCATCTTCAGATGATGGTAGCAAGACCATTCTGCCACTTATAATACCTCATCACGTATTAAGTCGTCTGCCATGGATGGATGGATGGAAACCTTTCACATTTGACTACGTGTCCAATAACTTGCTTGAGATGATTGAAAGTAGCAAGTTGTCGAATGATTGGTAGTTGCTCAAGTTATAAATATTGGGTTCTTGTATTACCCATGTAGCTTGCTACCATAAAAGTTTGTTAGATTTCCACAAAATCAAATGTACAGGATGTGTTTCCTATGTGGGACAAATGAGACAAGAATGAACAGAAACTAGTTATCTAATGCAATATTAGACCAAGACAAAACCTACTCTCAAGCTAAATAAAGTAGCCCTCGATCGAACCTCCATCTAACATCGCAATTGCATAGCACCCATGACCAGACTTTGAACATAAACCCATTTAGTAAGATTTCTTACATTCTCAGAAACACAATACAAAGCCATGGTGTTATATTTCACTTGGTAACCCTTAGGGGACGTTTGTTTCACATAATGAAATTTGGTAGAATTTGAATTCATCAAAGGAATTTGTCTTTAAAGGAATGAGAATAAAATTTAACCACATTTGGTTAGTAGGAATTAGAATGAAATCTCCCAAAAGAATTGGAATCTCTGTTTTTGTTTGGACCACCACCACCCTCCCCACCTCCGGCCCCCGCGTCCCACACTGTTGCCGTCGTTACGACCACCGCCCTGCCCCCGTTGTCGAGCCCACCACCCGCCCTGATGGTTAGTAGTGGCATAGTGGTCAGTGGAGGGTTGAGGTGGGGGCGTGATAGTAACAGTGGTAGCATGGTCGTGGTGGGGGCAAGGGATAGGCGATGATGGAATTCAATTCCTTCACTTATATCAAGGAATAATCAATTCTTTAATTTGTGGAATTCAAAGGATCTCATCCATTTTAATATGTGAACCAAACAAAGAAATTGGACTTTGATCAAAGGAATTGATCATATTCCAATTCCAATTCTTTTGAATTCTGCAAACCAAACTAACATCTTATACTCTCACACCACTAATAGCACAAGGTGGGCAGGGTTATTCCAATATCTCCATGGCTTTGATATATTCCAATTCCAATTCTTTTGAATTCTGCAAACCAAACTAACATCTTATACTCTCACACCACTAATAGCACAAGGTGGGCAGGGTTATTCCAATATCTCCATGGCTTTGATGGCTGTTCATAAGCATCCCAAAATAGAATAAAAAAAACACATGAATAGCTTCAAAACAAACTTTGGGTCCAACACTATACATTCAGACATTGACTATAACCTCTCAAAGAAAAAAAATGACCAAACCAGCCAACAACAAGAAGCATTGGTTATTTCTTAATGCCTAATAATAATATTATAGCACACCACAATAACAACCATACTCAAAAGTGAAACTGCAACTCCAATACATAGTCTCACCTCCTCCCTCCAAGGATTTGCCGATCGCATGCCTGCAAACTCACCTTCTCCACCCTGTCTGGACCATTTTTTCTAAAACACCACATATACAAGTAATCAGTTATATGTGTTTCTAAAACAACACATATACAAGTAATCAGTTATACATAACTAAAGAAAAATTACAACTGATGATCACTCTAAACTCGAGATTAACATAAACAGAGACTAGAATTAAGCAACATTTCAGTAAACTCATGGAATTCTTTAACATATTGTAACCAATGGAATAGTGGCGTAAGATTTGGTTTTCGAATCATGCACACACTTAGACATATAGGGTCAGGTTCTAGGAAAAACCGCAAAAAAACGAAAAACGGAGGAACACTCTGGTATTCATCTGGACAGTATGCACATGTGCATACAAGTTATTTATATGCAATCTGTCTGGTATGCACATCATAACATGCACACATGCATAAAAACCAATAAACAGCTTGAATTACTTGTATGCACATGTACATACCGTCGAGATGAATATGTACCACGGTGTTTCTCAGTTTTTCATTCTTTTAGGAGTTTTCCCTTGAACATCCTTATATAGATAGATCAAATTCCCAAAATACTAGCAGTTGATAGAATCCCAGCCCAATTAATGCAAGCTACTCCCTCCCTTCCATAACTACAGCTTGATTTCTCAGGTTATAAGGGCTTTTTCTCAACTTGAGAAATATACATTGTCATATCCCTTTTGGATTTGGAAATTAACTGTTTTAATCTCAAAAGTCAAATGCATCACTTTTTACAGGTGGAGGGAGTATATAAGAACAAATAAGATGTGACTGATACACGGCGGCATAAGGAGAGTTGATAAAATCTGCATAATTAAATAAGTAAAGAAATTATTGCTTACCATCTCTAGGGGATACTTGGGATTTGTTAGGTTTACTCCCTCCTTTACTGTTAGGCTTCTGAACCCGTGGTGAATGCAAGCTCGGTTTGACAGTGGAGGATGGTAGAGAATGCCGCCTGCTGAAACCATTTTCAGCCCCCCCTTCCTCTGCAGCCTTTGCTGCTGCTTGTGCTCTAAGCTTGGCCTTTGCCGATTCAGTTGCCGCCATGTAGCTTGGCAAGGCGGGTGTGTTCTGTGATATGCTCTCATGATTTTCTTGTTTTGTTGCCAAAGACTTTCTCCTCCTTGTTTTCTGATTTTCCTTACTACCATGATCTTCCTTCCCATTTAACTCCACATTTGTCGGTGGTTCATTCTCAAACTTTCCATTGGTTTCTGGGGACGATGGTTCGATGGTAGGATGATCATCTTGCTGAATATCAAGTGGTTTATCCTCTAGAGGTTGAACAGGAGGTGCTTCTTCTGGCTCAGGTTGATTAACACTCTCCACATATGAACCATTTATTTTCTCAAAAGGATGATCTGTTTCCTGCTCAGGAAGCTCTGGAGTAGGGGATGGGGAGCTCAATACTTTATTCAAACCGTCCGGAGGCTTTTCAGTGTCGATTTCTGACTTAATTTCTGATTTCTCAGGAGCCAGAGAGGCGGATAGAGATATTTTTCGTAGATTGCGTTTCACCTTTTCAAGCTCATTAAGAGATTGCTCTTGAACTGATTCAGGTTGGTGGTTCGGGACTTTCCTCACGGTACGCCTGGATTTTTCATTTTCAGAGGAATTGGACAGACTGTTATCATTATTTGCTGCAGGAACTCTACGAACACTTCTCTTTGGCTTCACTGTTTCAGTTTCTTCAGCTTGCAATTTAAGCTGCTTTCTTTTAGGCTTTGCATCAAGCGGTTTTTTCAGTTGCGGTAGTGGTTCCCAGAAGCAGGAAGATGACCAACGCTCTAGCCAGCTCCTCACAGAATTTGGTTCAGCTGGTTCATATTGGAAGCTTAAGGCCATGGTGGTGTGCAATGAACCAACAAGCTAAAATAAGGAATTAAGCATCAGTCGACTCCTCTAGATGTAGGCATATAATAAGAATGATAGTGAAATCTGTAAATTGCAACCCCCTTGAAACTTTATTAGTTTTACACCTTAATGGATTTACCCGTGAATTTTTGCTCTTGATCAACTACCCTTACAGATACTTTTAAAAAGTGAAGTAAAAGAAGTATATTAACATTGTCTTGTCCCACCATCTTTATATCTTTTAACATAGTTAACTTTTTTATTTTAAGCAAAAGTACTTCAAAATAATTTAATTAAAGTAAAATAGATAAAAAAAATTATGTTGATGTAAATCTATGTACTTTTAATCAAAAAAATGACCAAAAATTTGATATATTGTTCTCATTTTTTAATGAAATAAACAAATTTGACATACTTCCATATTTTGTTTGACTAAATAAGCTAAGACAAAGCACATATGTATGTATATATGTGTGTGTGTGTGTGTATGCATGTAAGATAACATAAATATTATACCTTAGTCGCGAACACATTTTTTGATAGCTTTTCTTCACGAAGGGAGGTTACAAGCAATTCGGCTCGTTTCTTACCCTAACAAAACAAACCCAAGAAAAAGAAATACATTTAGTTGCATAAAGAAGAAGGTCAACAGCTTATAAGAAGCATGATGAAATCATACGGAACAAGAACACACCAATTGAAGTATCTTATTCTCATAAGGGCATTAAGGAGATCAGGTGCCTGAACTGCAACTCAAATAATCAAAAACCAAGGAATAGTCTTTGATGTGGCTAGTACAGGTTTACAAGACCAAAAAAGACGCATCTAATTGTATGTACCAAGAATGCCATGAGAGGTCGGAGTTATAATGGCACAAGTTGAGTTAACAAAGTAGAAACTAGAATGCAAAAACAAACAAAAATTGCAACCAGATAGAGAATGATACAATGTAACAGAAGTGTTACAGAAACTAAAAAAAAGAACAAATTGTCTCAAGGCAGTAGTCGAAATCATCTAATTAAGATAAAACATGTGGCAGAGAAGAAAACTAAGTCGGTGAGAGTACATGAAAATAATAAAAGCCAAAGGAATTACCACAAGTTGTCTTGGCACGTACTTCTGCTGCACTTGACCGTTACCAGAAAGCCTGACCCTTCGGCCACGAACCAACGCCTGGAACTCAACAATTGCACGCATGCAACTCAAAGTTGCAACAGCCTGTCTTCTAACTAAGTGACCACGGACTAGCGCTTGAAGCCTTATGATACCCTTGAGGGCCCAAAACGCCCTACGTGCCTTCACATATGGTTAATTCATGTTAACACAAATGAACTCAATAATGCAAAACACAAATTTGAAGCATGAGTTGATATCACATAACTACTCAAGATATTATGGAATGGAAATACAAAAGAAGACACATGTGAACGCCAATTTTAGCATGTGCACAAATAGTATATCTTTACTTCATAAAGTTAAGAGAATAAATATTTAACTATAACCTCACTGTTTGATGTTTGCATAAAGAAAGTGAAGGGAAACCAAATGAAGTCGATTCAACTCCCGTAATAGAAAATAAAAAAAGGGAAAGAGAAAGGTGTTGATGAGTCCAACAATCAACTTTGTTCTTTTAGGTTCCTTGGCACCCAAAGAAGAAATTCAGACGCTCAATAAGTTTGATCACTCAGGAACATATATGAATTACAGATATTTTCTGGGAAGAAATTTAGGTCTACTGAACAGATTTGTATGCAAGATATTAAGGGTGATGGTACCGACACCAAGAATAATACAAATAAGTGGATAACAAAGGGTAACAAGAGAATGGAGCAATTTAAATGATATAGAGTGTTTTCAAAAAAAATAAATGAGACAAGAATTTCAAGGAAATGATATAGAGTTGTTAACAGCATATGACCTAAATATAATTTTTCAGCAAGCAGAAGCACAAGAAACACATAAAGACGGGTAGTGTTTTCAGTTCACAAAAGCATTTAATTAAGCTCAACAATATTACCAAGTATCCCCTGAAAGCGGCCTGTGCCTTTGTGGCGGCTTGCTCTAGCTTGATTAACTCCTCGCCATCTGCAGCATTTAACTCTATGGGACTTCTTACATGTTCAGCTGTATCTGGCACTAAGTTGGCACTGGAGCTCTTCTCCAATTCTGTCTGCTCTCCACTTGAATTAAGGACAGGACGCACTGGGCTCGAGATAACCATAGAATCAGCACCAATATCATTTGGTGGTGCCTTACCAGTGATTGATGTCTTTATTTCTGAAGTAGCATCCTACAAGAAATAACATGACATTAGGATCAAACTGCTTAGTCATCTATGTTAAAGAAACTCAAATGAGGTTTAGGAAGGGTATGAGGCACACAGTTCTTTCAAGAGTTTTGATCCCCTCAGTTGTATAAACCTAGCCTACTCCCGGTATGGGCCATGTAATAGGGGGTTGAAAAGAGGCCATGTTTCCACTATTACAAGGGCAGAGGTTGTTTTCATAATACAAACAAGATAACTAATGATAGGTATAGAAATGTTGCAGTAGTCTTTTCAACAATTAGGTCTTAAGACATGACCATACATGTATTTGCGCGAATAGAGATAGAAGGAAAGGCAAAGTTTATAATATAATTCAATGAAGATGCCTGCACTAAGCAATCTTTGATGCGAATGGATTAATCTAAACGGATGGGAAACAGCTAATTCTTAAACACAAAATACAATCATGAGAGATTGTAATCTCTCAATTAGTATAGACAGCAACAAGTAGAACGTAAAAAGGATGCTAGGTCCAAAACTATTGGTACGAAAGTAGAGAGCGAAAATGTCTGCAAAGAACATATAGTATTAAGTTCATGGAAGTAAGCGGAATTGCTTTAAGCAGATTTGACTTTTCAGGGGATCAAGAAGGGCTAGATTCCCCATGAAAAGATCTAGCAGTACAATAAGCCTAAACCCAAACTTCATTTAGAAGTAATTGATCACCCTTTTGAATACTTTTTCAATAAAATAAAAAGGGATACTTTTTATAAGATGTTAACCAATGCTCCATGTTTATGGGATATGGACCATGAAAAACATGTTAAAAGTCAGCGCCCTTCTGTTTTTTATGTTATTTTTCTTCCCACAAAGGTGGAAGTGTTTAAATTACATGAAGGTTTTATTACATTCAAAAGCAGAAGCCTTTTTCACACCAGCATGGTAGCAGATATGTGGGAGTGTCCAGAAAAAACTCCTGATGTCATGTCTGATTATCTTCGGTCCAAAGCCCTTGTTCACCTTAAAAAAGGCCTATGAAATCCTTTGAAATGAATATTCACATAAATTAACAGCAATTGCAGGCTGCTACTGAGTGAATCAACATTGTGATTCAGTTACCGAACTACAGATATCAGCCCTACAGTTGTGCTTGTGAGCCAAATAGATAAAAATTGTCCACATGCAGATTTGGGTAAGTTAGTTATTGCAGAATGATTAAGTAAGAAGCAAAGCAAGAACTCCATAGCAAGTAACAAGCCACCCAATCAGAAGCAGTCTCAAAGCATTGTTCTAGCTCACAATATGTACGTCCCTTTTCTATATTGACTAAGTGGTCTAATGCTCTGTTGCCATACATATTACTATATTTTATTTGTGATTTGACGTAACCGCAATCATCTGTACTGAAATACAAGAGGTGTGCATAAACCACATTTTCTTACTTTTACGAGATTAGATTTTGAAGACTTCTTCCCAAATAACACAGTCTTGATCCATTTTCCAGGAGACTTCCCCATTGTCAACAGAGAGCTGCTCTTAGAAATGGTGCAACCTTAATTTCTCTGCATGATCCCAAAAATGAATTCTCAATGGAGCTACATGGAATGAAATACGAAACATAAAGTAAAAATGAAAATGATATCATCCCTACATACATTGATTTCAAATTTAATTTAACCATCCCAAAGGATCATTGCTTGAATTCAATTTCATTTTGTATCACTATTTATGAATGACATGGCCAAGAAATGACTTGCTAAGACCACACTTCTGTTTAAACAACCGAGTGCTTCGCTTATAAAAATTTCAAAAAGAAGTTTTAAACGAAAACGAGTCCCCTTCAAATCGAGTTCTCCAAATCACACTGTCCACAAATGGAAAAGGAATCTGAGCATTACCAGTTACAATTAGATCTAGTAAAAAAAGATACATTAAACAAAGTTTGGTCAGTGAAAAAGAATCATGCTTAAAAAATAATCAATTCAAAACAAAGGGGGAATTTTATATTCAATACTAAGTAAAATGTATATAACAACTTAAAAACAAATTTAGACGAGTACAGATCGCAGACGGTTAAAACCCAATTGCGAAGACCATACACAATATAACCATCACTTTAGTAAGAAAACCAATTGCAAGATCTGCATCAAAACCTAACGAAATCATCAAAAAGAAAAAAGTATAAGTATGAGTTAGGGTTGGAGAGGAAGGTGGTTCAGATCTGGAAATGCACCTGAAAACCAAACGAGTGTTGGAACCCTAAGTTGCCATTCCTGAAAAGCAAGTGAAATTGGAGAGAAAAGAGGTGAGTTAGAGATCACATAATCGAAATTGAAGAAGATGGAGATGGTACCTTGAATTGGATGTCATGCGGTTGAGGAACATGGATCCCTTCTCCCTCTGCTTTGTATCTGTACTTTCTCTCACTACATTGGAGTGGGTATAATCTGTACCTGTATTCACCTTCTTTTACTAAAGCTGACCACCCCTTTTTATACTTTTCTTTTTAATTTCACTATCACTTCTTCTATGCGTTTATCATAAATATATAATTTTCATCATCATTTATTTTATCGGGTAATATTTTCATTAATTGTTGGTAACTGTCTTTTAACTAATAAGTATTAGAGTTGGGATCATGTGAGACCAATAGTTTTCGTGAGACCCGTAAGACCAATTCTCAACTCTTAGATTAGATCTACAATCTGAACATTCAATAATCATAAAATTGTCACGAGACTTCTCAATAATCATAAAATTGTCACCGTACAACTTTAGACCATTAGATTATAAAGTTGATCAATAAACATAAATCGATCTTACGGGTCTCACGAAAAACCCTTGGTTTCACGTGAACCCAACCCATAAGTATTAACCGCATAAAAGTTATTACCATTGGTTAGTAGGTAAAAATCAGTCGTTGACATGCTTCTGTTTGATAGAATGATAAACTTTATTAACAGATAGACTATCGATGTGTTTGGTTTACAAAATGTAAGGACATTAATCCCATTGAAATTAGCAAATTCCAATTGTTGATGGAATTGATCATGATTTCGTAAAACTGAATCTCCTAATTTTATTAAAAGACAAAACTATCCTTGCTTAGGTTAATATATAGCATTTCCAATAACGTCCCTTATAGTGGCCTATTTTATGGGTAAAAAGTCTTTTTCAAAGTAAAAAATAACAACAACAAAAGAGTCGTTATATGTCAAGAAAAGCTTTTAGGCGGTCCTCAAATTGGTGATGGAGAGGTCCTTCGTTTACAGACAATGGCTACTTTCATCATGATCGGTCCCTGGACAACTAGACTGAGCCTAACACATGATTGAAAGTGGTCTTTATTTGATTTTGATTTAGTCAATAACTGATATTTGTCATGAAAATTGACATGATCGGTCATTTGGGCCTAGGCTGATTTTAGGTCGGGTCCTTAATATAATCGATGTTAGTCAGGTGAGGGCAGAGTCGATACTCTATAATATTCCTATTTGTACATATTTGGTCCAAATGATTGCTACCAAACTAAGTTTTATTGACTCTTAAACTCTAAAGAACATGTGTACGCATGCATATCTTGTTATTATTGACTCTTAAACTTTAAATTATTAAATTTTTAAAGATCTAATAATTCAGTCAAAAAGCCGATAAAAAGACTATTATGGTATTTAAGTTTTTACATGTTTGAATGATTGTTGGAATTGGATAATTCATTTGTGATTCAGTCTTATACTTTTCAACAATCTAGTCCATTCCATCTTATAAAATCATCTATATCAGTATATTATAGTCTTATATATGGTCTAAGAATGAATACGTTGACTCAGGGGTCGTTTACCAAACATACACCCGGTAACTGTTTACCGGTAAAATTTAGCACTATCATTTACTTACCCGGTAAGATTTTAGTCCATCAAAACGGCATTGTATACAACAATTTACCCGGTAAGCGTTTACCATGGTAAGAGTTTTCACTCTCACTTACCGAGCAAGACTTTTGGTCATTGTTTCGCTCTTACCGGGTAAGATTGTTGGTTCTTATCATATTCATCCGATAAGATAACTTGATAAACGCTTACCTGGTAATAAAAACCAAGAATGGTTAATCTACATTGGAGTTTGATTTTTAGATTTCAACATTTTTATGTGTATATATCAGGAATGTTGGTTGGTCTGGTTTTAGAGTCAAAACCGCAAACCAAACGATACATACAACCATCTATGTATCGGACTTTCTGTTGCAAACTTTAACAACAATTTCTAATTTGCTCCCTTTATGTATTTGTTCCAAACCTGATGAAATGTTGATATTGATATATTTATCAAGTCAAATGAAACTATATAAATGAATAAATAACAACATCATTTTATCTGTTTAAAAATAAAATATACGAGTTTTACCTATTAAACATTAATAGCCTTTTCCAATATATATCATATGTTTTCCCAAATTTTTATTGAATATTATTTTAAACATTTTAAAAAATATTTAATAAGTTAAAAAAGATATAGTTGAAGTGGTGGGTACGAGATTATTGAAGGAATGAAAAAAAGACAGCTAAAAGCAGGGAGACGTTAGCGGGTCACCATCATTGCCCATTCATTGATTGTTCTTTAATACGACATTAAATGCCTTTTTCTTATTACATCTTAATATAATTAAATTACGCTTCCATATTTCACCTTCACCCACTAAGGGGCTGTTTACCAAATTTTCTATTAAGTCCTGTATGGATAAATTTGTTTGTCTGGATAAATTTGTCTGTTTGGATAAATTTATGTTGATGTTTACTTTTCTATCTGAATCATGAGTCTGAATAACATAAATGACCAATTTACCCCTGAGAATAAAACAGAATAAACAACTTTCATGGCTCGGCTAGGGTTTCTTTCTAGCAGCAAAGACAAGCAAACAAAAATCAAACAAACATGAAATCGATAAAAAGCAGCTAGGGTAGCAGCAAACACAAGCAAACAGAAATCGAACAATCATGAAATCGATATGGAACTGGAGAGCAATCGGTTGTCGATGGAGAAGAAGACAGCGTCGACTGTTGATGGAGAAGAAGACAGCGTCGACTGTCGATGAAGAAGAAGAGAGCAATCGGCCGATTAGGGCTCTTTGGAGGAGAAGAGGGGGTCGACTGTCGATGGAGAATAGAGCGTCGTTCGATTAGGGTTCTTTGGATGGAGAAGAGAGCGTCGATCGATGAAGAAATAGCATCATCCGATTAGGGTTCTTTGGATGGAGAAGAGAGCGTGGATCGATGTTTTTTTTCTGGGCGAATAAGGGTAGGGAGAGTCTTTTTCTTGGCTTAATTTGGACAACTCATGTTTTTAATATCTTAAATAAAGCTAATGCAATCTAATGTGATATATCTTGATTTTAATGTTTTATTTTATTTTTTATTTTTATTAATTTTAAATTTGGTTTTAAAAAGCGAGAATGTTTTTATGTTTAAATGAAATATAAATTTAAAGTCTTCATTATTTTCGTTTTTGTTATTAATTACATACTATGTTTCATAGTTATCATAATTATATTTTAAATAAGATGTTATCAATTAGTTATATGAATTCAAACATATAGCTTTACTTGTGATCTTGAAAGTTTATGTAATATGCCTCAATAAATAGTACACGATACATAAAAAATGGTTTTAAGACTTTATCTCAAATTCTTTATAATGTAATACAAACATTCAGTCTAATCTGATGACTTGACCGGCCCTTGAGCATTTGTCACAAGGCCAAATTTTGTATTTATTGTTTTTCCATTTTCAAATATATGTTGTTTTTGTTGAAACATCTTGAATTATGGACGTTTGGAGTTTTTACAAAAATGTTTTTATTGCTTCCGTGTGAAATATTTCAAATGTCCAGATTTGACCGTTTAGACGTTTAATCAATATGGTCCTTGTTCGGTCATAATCGATTCAAGTCCATGAGCGTTCCTATCAAGTCAAGTCCTATTTGATCGAGTCATCAATTATTTTGTGGGATATGAAATTGTGGATCATTATTTAATATCTTCTTAATCTAATAATTTCCGTATAATTGTTATTTTAATTCATATTTGTTTCAATATTGATTTATATTTATATTAAGAAAATTCTAAACATAAATTTCATATATAAAAGACGTGTATAATTACATGTGAACAAATATACACATGCCTTCAATACGACATTTTTATCCACAGTCGCGCCTTTCCAAATTCACTCATCACTTTACCCCTGCATACGCATAACTTTAACACTCATCACTTTACCCCTGCATACGCATAACTTTAAGTGAAAGAAAAAGAGAGCATCATAATATCAACCTATCCCAACAATGGATACTTCAACTACATCAATAACCATACCACCCAAAGACGCATGTTTAAGTATTAACAAAGAAAAATGCTGTTTATATATAATTTTTAAAGAATATGTGAAACCATAGACATATATACAGGAGAAATAGTTCAAGTCTAACTACAACAAACCTCCTCCAATGGAGGTTAGATGGACACATAGTGTGGAGGGGGCTAACTAGAGAGTTGGATCCCTATAGTGACAAACTTTGGCTCCGATACCATCTGAAAATATATGGAAGCCCAGACCACCCTTCAAAAGATCACTTGAGGAAAAATAAGAGATTTTTTTACATATATATATATATATATATACACACACACACACACACACATACATACTCACACACGAAGAAATGGTCCAAGTCTAGCCGATGTGATACTCTAACATGTGCTATTTTATGGCAATTAATCCTACGTTCGATAATTAAAATAAACAATCTTTTTTAAGTGAGGTAGTGACTCTCTCGATAAGCGTTTGGTAAATGGCCCCTAAATAACATAAACATTTTTCAGTTAATCACTAAAAAGAAAGAAAAAAAAAGCATAAATACTTTTTTCAGGACAATATGATATAAGAAATAACTATATGTATACAAGAAAGAGTCTAATAGGCAAGCAACAAGTGGCACATAAAAGGTTATAGAATCCCTACAAATTGTTGTTATATAGCATGACCTTCAAATCAACATAGTTTCCATAGCACTCATTATTACAGTGTATCATAACAGGAATATCACAGAGATACAGACCATCCTACCTTACCCTACCAGCAGGGGAGAGGCATGGTCAAGCACCACCCAGCATGCACTCTTAGTCGGCTGTCCAGCTTTGCTCAACCACTTCTCGTACTTTTCTGTTATACTCGCGCTTATTCTCACTAAACAACCGTGCTGCTTCTGAGTTGGCTGGTGAGTTTGGGTTCGGATCACAGAGCAGCGACTACAATCAAAGAAACCAAATTAGAACAAACTTTTAAGAAATAACCACTGAATTCATAGACCAAAAAATGCATGATATACTTGTCAATCTAAATACTGTCGCTTCATGTTACAAAGTGTTCAATCTTCAAGTGGTTTTAACAAAATGAATTTTAAATCGAATGTTCCAGACGAAAAAGCAAGTAATGAGAGTCAAAAATGAAAGCATAAAGTCATGATATTAGAACAAATAGTTGCTGAATGAGACTTGAAAGAAAACAGTTATAGTAGATGATGGCAACAAAGAGTTGGAATGACCCTGAGTAGCAGATCCCCCCTCCCCACAAACAAGTGGTGGTGGTGGTGCTTTTGGGAGGAGGGGGATGGTGACAATATCATGTAAAGCTGGAACTTCCCATCAGCCAGGCCATCCATCACCTAGCTACTCTTAGGGGCTGTTTGGTTGGTTTTCCATCAAGTCTTATATGGATGAAGTTGTATGTGTGGGTTTACCTGTTTGTATAGATTGGGAAGGTTTTTGTTTGAGTGAGTTTTTTAATAGATGGAAGGAGCATGTTTTTTAATTCGCAGCCGCAAGTTAGGAAAAAAAATTCAACTCCGTATAAAGCTCACCTAGAAGCTTACAAAATAAGCTACTTTCTATATCATCAAGCCACTACCAAACAATCATGTATAGTTGACTGGATAAGCTGCGACTATCATTAAGTTCATTAAACTGCTACCAAACAGGCCCTTACTGTTGCCAAAGCACTACTACTCAGCTTAAGTTTAACCATACATTCGTAGATTCTTGCCTCTAGAATAGTAGTTGAAGGGTTGAAAGCCAAACTTCAGGTTGTGAAGAAAAAAGAAGCTTACAGAACACAATTAAAATACAGCCCAAAGACAAAAATGGAGAAAAATAAAGGAATAATCACAGATCCAAGGGAACCAGCAGAAAAGGGATAAGATGGTGTCTTGTCATATGGCCAGACCCAACCCAACCTTTGGCAATCTTCTCTTTCACATACACATTCTCCTCTTACGTCATCTATGATTAAAAACCTCAGCTACATTATTACCGAAAACTATTACCGAGAATGTCATATTTCCCCCTCTCTCCGGCCAGAACAAACAAAATAAATTAATAAAAGATAAGCCAGAAGTAGTAAAGCAACAAGTGGCAGGCTAAGGCGTACAACTTTGGAACATCTAAAAGTCCTTCCGCCAACCCACCTAGGTGACCAATGTTATTCAGGATAAGCATCACTTGGTGCATAGAGTACAAGGATCAAAGATTCAGAGGATCATAATGAGATCAAGATTTCAGTAGAGGTTGGTGTATAGATTCTTAGCATGGAGTGATAGGCAGCAAATGTTTTCTCATCAAAGAAAAAATCGTTAGCAGTACCGAGTACACACATCATACCCCCTCACGCACCAGCAAACATGGCATGGTTATGCCACAGCCATCATTCCTTAAGTAGGAAACTACAACAATGTTCTATCATATATGAAACAGAAACAAGAGTTCTTCCGATAATCATTAAAAAACTGTTGTCCCCGAAGCCTCATCAAGATTTAGCAGTAGCTTGTGCCGTAACAGTAATAGCTCCGTTTTATAGCCTTAACTAAGACCAACCAACATCATTATACGATCTACAAACTCTACCCAGCATGATACACATTCACAGTATTCAGACCCCAAAGCTTCTTTTCCGAACACAGGATTATATTCCAACATTTAGCCGAATTTGACAATCTATTGTCTAGCACAGTATTGCAAGAAACCCTCATTGAACAACTATATCCATGTTTATTTACAAGTCAGCAAATTCCTCCTCCTTTGCACCTAGAAGCATAATCCTAAAATCTGTAGCATGCAACCAGTTCATTAACAGTTCTCACTATCAAAGCTACAAACTTTCAAAGAAGGTTCAAGTCCTCCAACTTACAAAAAAAATGAACATAAACTACCACATTTGAATCCTCTGTTTTAAGGCTGAAGAAAGCATGAAGGAAAATTATTTCCAAATCATTTCCAAATCTCAAAAGTCATGGAATACATAAAGGAGTAAAACAAGAGAATAAGTTGTGCAAATTTATACCATAGTTAAACAAACAATGTTTCTTGAAATTCATTTATAGACCAGCAACATTAATTAAAAGAAACGGCAATTGCACCAGATGCAATCAATAAACCAGTGTCCCAACTCATGATTTGTTAATTTTTTTATTAATGCTACTTCTTCCTGTTGTCTTACAAGATCGAGGTGCCTAAAAATACTGTTAACATCAGCAGTTGGAAGAATTCTAGAACAAATGGCTAGTTTGCCTCCATGTATGCGTACTTTAGTAGCACCACCATTAGATTGAACAAAAAAGAATAGAGTGAACATATTCAAGCAGATTTCACCATCTTATAGACCAGCTGATGATGATGATGCAATATAGCAAATTAATTTCAAGTACGAATAAGTTTTAGCCGATGGTGCCAACTCTGTTTTTCATGATGGCACAACTCACTTCTTGCTTAGAATGAATTGCTTCAATATCTATTCTCCAATAGATCCACATCTCCCAAATTTATTTATCACTTTCCCCATCAACGGAATCATCCAATTAGCCTTCTTTTCTCTTGCATTTCAATGTGATTGCTTTCATATTCTTCTCAAACAAGGTATCATTTCTTAATTCGTGACCATGATGTAAACTGGGCAGTAAATAGCATTGACGAAGGTTACATATTATGGGTTTATATTTATTAAACAGAAGGTGAGACCTAGAATCCTAGATGACTCATCCAAAATCTATATAACTTGTTTGTTATGAAAAAAAAAAAACTATTTCAATCTAGCAACTTCACTTTGATACTTAAAACCTGATCAAAACCAAATTATGTTGACCAAAAGCCAACTAAACATATTAAATAGTACAAAATTTTTCCATAAACATGCAGGAACATGTGACAAAATTAAAAGATCTTAAAACAGCAAGCCCGTCACATTATGTTACAGCTAATACCACACCTGAATTGATGTCAGAATAGCAGCAACATCATAAATTGGACTCCACTGATTTTGAAGGATGTCCAAGCATATGCTTCCATCTGCATAAACTGGTACATAGCAAAGAGCTCATGAAAATAAGAGATCATAAATAACACAATATATAAAAGCAAAATGCATAACGGAACCATTCTATATACCACATAATATGGATGGGTACTGTTTGGTGCCTTAAGCAAACCAGATTCATATCATTGATCGCTGTCAACGACGTGGCTTTAATATATGATGAGCCTAAGGGGCCGCTTACCGAACACTTACCGGGCAAGCGCTTACTAGCAAGAGAAATTACCTCACCTACCTTAGCATGTAACATTCTCGGCCATCAAAATGGATTGTTGGTAAGCATCTGAAACCCGAAAAGCGCTTACCGGGTAAGAGTATTTTTCCTCACTTACCGGTTAAAACACTCGGTCCTTGTTATGCCTCTTACCAACTAAGATTCTTGGTCCTTGTCATTCTTGATCGGTAAGTTAAGTGATATCGGTAAGCGCTTACCCGATAAGAATTAGTAAATTACCCTAAGACATGGACAATGACACAAGATTGTGTATCAAGGTACATGCTGCTTGCCCATATATAATGCCTCGTCCACTTCTCTGATAAGTGATGAGAACCTCAGAAGTTACTGATTTAACAATAACATACCATGTTCTCCAATATACATCACAAAGCTCAAGCCTCACAGCTGTCAACCCCAACCCTCAAAGAAGAAAATAAAGAAATTTTATCATGCTGATGATGACCACTTACTGTTCGGATGAAACATTCGTGAAATGAATCGCACAGTTGGTGGCTTATTTGGATAATCTTCTGAAAACTGTAAGGTCAGCTTGAACGTACCTGAGGGGGCATGCATAAGTTGACACGGAATGAAATAATAATGTAATACATTTTTTTGAAAGGCAATGTAATACATTGACAAGATAAAACTGTACATAATTCAGAAAAGCTATAACCATAGTCCAACACCTACAAACTCCATCAAACATCTCACAAGCAATTAAAACCGCTGTTTACACTACGGATAAGCCAATCACATTCAGAACAAAAATGCATATGCAAGATAAAATGTTAGTCCATTAGTATACATGGAGAATCCCTAATTTCAAAGAAGAAAATAATTAAGTTAAACTACTGCATTAACAAAAAAAAAAATTGTACTTGAAGCCTACATGTTGAACGTGTGACAATTGGAGAATGAATGTGCTTTCCCATTGCATAAAGGGAATGGAAGATAAGACAGGGAAGATTGCTAGATATTCAATTCCTTCCACTCACCCCCACCCAAGGCAGAAGTTATGCCCCTGCTTTCATGAAGAAACTATTGAAAAGTACCTTACAATCTGTGGATTATATAAATAAATAAATAAGCAATGTGCATTCACTTCTTTTCTTCGTTTTCTCCATTCATACTTTGTTACCTAGTTCTAATCCTGTGTGCTGTTCTTTTTCATTCGGAATCCAAATAGTTCCAAATACATACACATACTTGTACAACCATGAGTACTTTTTATTTTCTCATTCCAAGCATATAAATATCAAAACCATAGAAAGCATCGCACTCACCTCCATCCCAGGGAGTGTCGTCGGGCCTGCAATGCAAACAACATTGATCAATGAAAATCATTATATCTCAAGCAAAAGCAGCAACCTATAGTCCTATACTACTAGGTTATGAATTTATGATCAACAAACACTAATGCACACTTTCACCTACCCAAATATGACAGCATTCCAGAGCATTATATTGTTATCGTATGGGGCACCACTGATTCCAGCAGGAGGATCTTGCTGCAACCTCTTAAAATCCCTCATTAATCTCTTCCTTGCCGGTGTTGACATCTTTGTCAACTGTTATTCCGCAATTCAACAAACAATAAAACCAATTCAGTTGGAAATTCTGCCTGCCGATCAACTACCTATCCATGATGACTTTTAATCATTTATAAAGAACGACATAAAAAACTAAGTACGATGATCAGACTACTTGTATTTTAAACCCTAGATCTAAGAAATCAGTTTAATTACAGAACACATGAAGTGCTTTCTAACCAAAAACCGAATGGGAAAAAACAATTTAACATACTAAACGTATTATTCAATCCTAGGGTTCCGTTAATCAAGTTAACATGTACGTAATTACATAATAATTAAATTGATAAAGTGATGGAGAAAACTTGCCTCCTCAGAGATAAAGTGAGAAGAGGTTGTGGACGGAAGTGAATCGGAAGATGATGATCAGCCGTTGGTGGTGGTGGCGGGGAACTTATGCCCTCCGTGCGTCGCCCTCCAAAAGAGAACTCTCAATCACAAAAGGAAACGGAGAAGGTTTCAAGTTTCAACTACGCGTCATATGTAAGCTGATGATTATTTATTTGTTTGTCCTTATGCTTGTAAATGGAAATATCACAATTTACTTTTAACAGTATTTTCTTTAAAAGATTACGATTTATAATTCATTATTATTTTTATTTTTAAATTAATTTTTATTAAAGAAAAGGACCAAAACAGTAAAATATTAAAAAAAATAACAATTAATAAAAATAATAAATTTTAAATAAAAAAATACGGTAATTTACTCTTTTAAAAAACACACATTTTTTTATTTTTTTATTGCTTTATTAGTATCAACGATAATATTTTGGTTTAGGGGCTGTTTGTTTGGCTCTTAATGGTGACATTAAGAGCCAACCTCTTAATCGGTCAGAGGTGAAGTGTGTTTGGCAAAAAAAAAACAGTCCTCTTAATGGTTACATGACCCTCTTAACCATTTTGTGTCTGGTGCTTCATTCAACCATTCAGACATCATTTGTTCCATCTTTACCCCTCCCACCCCTCTCTTCCAGCGTCGCCTTCACGATCCTTCCAGAGTTCACATCGCCTTCCACGAGTTCACGTCGCCTTCCACGAGTTCACGTCGCCTTCCATCTCTGGCCTTCCACAGCTTCGTCGGTTGTCGCCTTCACCGTCTCCATCTCCGACCACCTCCACCGTCTCCATCTCCGCCTTCCACAGCTTCGCCGGTTGTCGCCTTCACCGTCTCCATCTCCGGCCACCTCCACCGTCTCCATCTCCGNCCATCTCCGCCTTCCACAGCTTCGCCGGTTGTCGCCTTCACTGTCTCCATCTCCGGCCACTTGCACCGTCTCTATCTCCGCCTTCCACAGCTTCGCCGGTTGTCTATCGTCTTCACCAATCGGGTATTTCACTGTCATTTATTACATGAATATTGAATCATCTAAAGCCCAAGCTCACTTTGAATGTTGAACTAGGGTTTACTTGTTTACTGTCTATGGAAATATCTGCAAATAGGGATACTGTCATTTTTACAAGTTTGTTTGGAGATTTTGGATTTAATCAATCGTGCTTTCCTGGAACAATTTTCATCCAAGTATGGCAATCTTGTTATGCCCCTTGTTGATTGCTCTTTCTGGTGCTTCTGTTTTGACCCTGTTACAACCCTGTTTCGCTCACCTATGATTACCGATTTCTCCTCTACATCCGTTGTTACTTGTGTGAAACTGAAAATAAAGTTCACAAGCCTACTGTTAGCAATATTGTGAAGAATGATATTCCTGCTAATTGTATGTGCACTGAAATGCTTAAATGGTCTAGACTTAAATCATACATAGGGTTAAAATGGTA